AATGTGAGCCAGTAATTCAATTATGAAGTTCTTAAACGAGAAGGTGCGGTATAAAAGGCGGTGCCCTGGGCATGGTGGCTTCCGTTTTTTTCACGTGTAAAAATGTCTGCTCTAGATGATGTTGCTTCTTCAAGGAAAAACGCAGGCAGAAAGGGATTTTGGTACCAAATTGAGTTACATTTTACTCTCAAAGAAGATAAGGACCAGTTCTAGCTAGGCTTGATCGAGTTAAAGGGGTCTTTAGGCACTAAAAGAAGGCGCTGGAAATGCTGTCTCACTTACTTGCTGATTTAGTCGGGAAAGAGGGTCATTTAGAGGCTCTATCACATGATACTAGTTATACTCAATACTTCAGGTAGTCACATAATGTGTTTGAAATTAGTATTAATATAAAATAAGGTATTGGTAATGGGGTCGAAGAGCAGCCATTTTGTGCATAGATATAGGATCGGCTATTGGGACGCACATGTTGGTGATAGTGTCATATGGTTGACCGAAGGGTGATCAATTACAGTCAGGTATTATTTGTTATTATTATTATTATTTTATTATAATTATTATCAAAATTATATTTATTTATATTATTACTATTATTATTATAGTATAAGTCATGTGATTTGTGCTGAATTTCAGTTCAATGATAGTTGAGTCCTGTAATCGTAACTCAAGTTTATTATGTAGTAGATACAGAAGTAAGTATAATGTGAATGTAAAGTACCGTATAGCCAAAAATTTTCGAGGCTTAAAATTTCGTGAATAATGAAATTTATGGAGAAATTTTAAATTCCGTGATAAATATTTTCGTGATTTTATTTTAATAATAATAATAATAATGACCACGCCTTATTTAATTAAAACATGGTTTGAGACGGACTCTTGTGTCAAGGGGCACCATGTCTACAAATCAGTGTGGACACCAGAGATGGGGAAGATCATCTTTGACCTAGGCAGTATGCTTAAAATAGCAATACAGAGTAACAGAGACATCAGCTTGACCGAGAACACGACTTGACACGAGGGCACGTTTATTAGTCTAAGGCGTGGTTAACCACGCCTCTCAATTAATATTTATTTTCGGGGGTTTAATTTTTCGTGATTCAAGCAGTAATCACGAAAATACGAAAATTTATTCCTCACGAAATTTTTTGGCTATACGGTAATCATACATTAATTGGCATTAACATTTTTTAGGCTCGTACTAGCATATACTTGTGCTGGTATATTACCAGCACAGTACTGCCATATTTTGATCGGCATTACTTGGTAAAGTTGGGAAGATGTACACAACTACAGGAAGCTTCTCACCATCCCCATATCCATTCAACTCTGTTATTGTATATGCTTAATAATTTAGAATAATATAATTTTTGTATTTACTACTTCCAGTGGATCGTTGAATGTTGCAACTGCTACCAGTACTAGGATCTGATTGAGGACCAAGTGGGGGTCTCTTGCTGTAACCACTTCTACTTGATGAGGGTGGCTGATAATTGGTAGTCGGCCAGGCCTTCTGGTCCCAGTGGTGGCAGTTCCTGGGTTGGTTTTTTATGTAGTAATGAGGGCTATTTCTTTGCCACTATCACTTATAACCTGCCTGATAGCATTATTGACCAAGTTTGTTAGGCTGTTGACAGATTTTCAGAATATACAATATAAATATTTGATAATAATGTAAAAAATTATTACTTCAAGTCAATTATACCATTTCTCTTCTTGCCATGCTTTCTACCTGTGCTTGTAGGTTAACTCTCTCGCCTTTACTAATTTTAATGTTTTTATAATGCGTTTTGCTAGTGATTTAGCCATGATAAGAACAGTGCCAGTGCGGGAGCCATTTTGTTATTTTCAAATGTGGCCGCCATAATGTGCCCAGGGCACCTCGTTTTATACGGTGACGGGCGGAAGCGATTCTATGACGTTGCGTGGATAGTTTTATAGTGCACCTTCTTCTTTAAAGTATATTGTGAGCAATAGTAGCTGTTTAAACATAAAAACAGTTAATTTATTGAGTGCAAGTGCCTGTTTATTGCATTTCTCAATGCATTCTTTCAAAATTTTACTTTATAGCTCTATTATGCTTACATTATGCTTATGCTTTTGGGCCCTATTATGCTCAAAATTATGCTGGCATAATCCGCCAAGGCCTAACTATAGATTAAATCGTTTATATACTATAAGGAGAATTCTAGAATGTTCTAATGTAAAGTATTCTAATAAGTTCTAGAAGTTTCCCGATTAATGAAGAATAATGAGTTCTAGAAGTTTCCCAATTGATGAAGAATAATGAGTTCTAGAAGTTTCCAGATTAGAGTAGGATAATAAGTGATGATAAATGATTAGTGACAATAAATGATTAATTATGAACGACTAATACCAAACATTACCTGAAATGAGAGAGAGAGGAGAGGGAGAGAGGGGGAAAGAGATAGAGGGGAATGAGGAGACAGAGGAGGAACATAAAAGATCAGAGCAAAAGGAGATAGAGCATACAGTGACTGGTTTAGCTTCTTCTTATTCACTCTCAGTAGTCATTATCAGTTTTTTCTCCATCACTTACAACACCACCAGCCCCTGATACACACCCACTCATGTGATGCAGGTAAGGATCAAGTTGAATGATACTCTTCAGTGGAGTTAATCTAATGATTGTAACCAATGGATTTACAATAGAGCAATGAAAAAAAATATTTCAAGATAATTATGACTAAAATTGATAAAACCTACCCTCTTTAAAAACTCTAGCAACATAGCATGACATGTCACCTGATTTTGATGATAATACAATCCTGTCCATTAAACCACTAGAGAATGAGAGGAGAAGGAGAGAGTAAGGGTGGGGAGGAAAGGACAGAGAATAGGATAGAAATAAGTCGTGTAAACTTCCTCTTTCACTCTTATCATCGCAAAATATTTTGTTCAAGGTAAAAACTGTCAAAATTTTAAAAACAAGTAAATTTTTGAAAGAGCAAAGGCTCCAAAAGAAACCTCAACATTATTTCATTGCATTTTCTGATACATATCAATGTCCTTATGCTAAGTAGAAAGTTTGAGCTGATTACGAGAAATAATTTTAAAGTTATGAATATTAAAAATGGGCAACTTTAATAAAAAGCAAGGCTTATATTGCAGTGGATTTTAAAAATTGACTCCCAAAAATCATCTACCATTTTTATTACATTCTTGATGCATACATGTATTACATGGTTTCCCACAAAGCATGCTAAGTGAGCTAAACAGCATGAGCTTTATGAGCTGACAAGCACCACAGTACAGTACATGGCATTTGGAGCAAATTAAAAAATTCAAATTTGACAATAGTCTGTTCAAGCTTACACAACATAAGTACATGTAGGTGTATCAAAAAAATTATTAAAATGGAGGATTTTCCCTTCTTCATTTTTGACCAAAATCCCTGTACATGGACTTTGGCCCAATTTTGAGCAACTTAAAAAAATTTTTTTAAATCAAAACTTGATTGGAATCAGTTCAAACTTGCTACATAATGTATAAGTACATGTACATTGTATAAAAAAATTATCAAAATCAAAAATTCTCTCCTTTTTATTTTAATGAAATTTAGCCAAAAACCACTTGTAGAATACATGTACATGTGCATAAATTCATACGCTAGTACATGCAGCCCACTATTAATCTACATTGTTTTTTAATCTTAGTATTTTTGATCTTTTGGTGGTTTTACTGAACTGGAACAACTTTAAAAATTTGCAAAAAAATCTAATTGATCAAAATCAGCTATGCAACATAAAAACATGTATATGCATCAGAAAACATTATAAAAATAGAGTATTCTCTTTTTTCATTTTAAAGCAAAATTTGGCTAAAGTCCCTGTACACAGGGAGTTTAACACAATTTGAAGCAACTTTAAAAATTCATAAAAATCTAAATTTGATTGGAATTAGCTCAAACTTTCAACACAAACTTTCAACATAAAGACATGTATATGTACCAGAATATTTAATAAATTTTCTCTCCCTCTCCCTTACTCCTCCAAATGTCTCCAGGTACATGTCCAGTACATTCCCTGTGCTGATAGTGTGGTCACTGGTGGATGGTACCAGTGGTCACTGGAGCTGTTATAAATCATCTTTGCAGTCTCATAAACATAGATTGGATAGTACATCTCCAACATTTTTAAAATCTCAAGAGCATCTTGTTCTATGGAGGTCAACCAGCCGTTCTCAGTCTTTAGCTCTGCCTACAAAACACTATTAAATGTAGTCTTGACAAAATGTATAATTAATTACCAGAGTGTCTCGTAATTGTTTTTGAAAAGTATTTTGGAATAAATATCTAATGGAATTTTGTACATTAGCACCCTAAAGAGAGAGAGAGAGAGAAATCACTCACTATACTTAATAACTATTCCTGATACATGTAGGTTACCGTAAATCTTCTAAAAATTCAACACTCTAACTTCGTCAAATTAAATAATTTTTTTCAAATTTTCACAAAATTACCTCTAATTATTCGATTATGCAAAATTACTGGCTGAGTATTCTAATTTCGACATAATCCTCTTATTTCGGCTCATGATTGACCACTTGCTTCAGTCTACCTTACCAAGCAGCTGAGACTTTGGAATGACCCTCCCTCCAATTTGGTCAATAAAAATTATTTAAAAGTAAAAAAAGAACATTTTTAACCTCTAATTTTTCAATATTACTGATTTTATATCAGTATATTCAGTATATATCAGTTTATTCAGTATATAACTAAAGATTTACGGTATTACGTTTATTCTTAATTGTGCTGAGTAAAAAGTTTGAACAACTTTCAAGAACATTTTGAGTTAGGAACAATTTAAAATTTGAACTTATACTGTCGTAAGAAACATGATCCATCTATCCAGTTTAAGGTAATGTCATTAATCATTATAGTAAAATATTCTCTACAACTTTCCATACTAGACATAATAGAGAATCCTTATTAGTCCTGTTTCATAAGTATAGACTATGTACATGTACATAAGTATCTTGTCATCAATAAAACTACATGTAGTTTGTATACAAATGATAGACTGCATGAATGATGGTAACACTTGAAGGAGACATGTCTTCATCTTAGAATCATTGATAGAGACAATTCTGTGTGTGTGTGAGTACTTACTATATAATTATTTATGTACATATCTTACTTCCTAATAAGGACTATCATTACTATACATTAATGAACCATTAATGTGGAGATCAAAATACAAAAACTACTCGATCATAAATCAAAAGATCACACACACACACACACACACACAGAGGTGGTATATAAGTGCTCATACCGGTAATACATAAACTATTTGTCAGAAACAGCTCAAACTTTCTACATAGCATAAGGATATCAATATGTATCAGAAAATTTAATAAAAATTTGGGATGATTTTGGAGCCATTTTTCAGAAAAAACCATTATTTTTGAAAAATTGGCAAATTTCTTAAAATGGCCATAACTTCAAAATTCTTTATCGGAATAGAGAGAGAGAGGTGTAAAATTAAGATATACATGTACATGTACATGTTACTGATGTACCATTTGTCTGATGAAGGTGATTGCTTGTTTTATGTTCTTCTCATAGAATGTCTTCATTATTAAACTGATACCAACACTACTCAAACCACTAAAAAATTATTGTTACCTCTATTTACCTCTATTCCTAAGGAAGAATGACACTATGTACATGTACGTCTTGAAAGAGAGTGCAGTGTTTTATTATTATTATTATTATACAACAGAAAAAAAAGAAAAGAAAGCCTACACTAAAACATACAATCATTAAAGAACAGAAACTAGTTAAATGAGTCCATCAACAGAAGGAGGCAAGAGGGGATTACGGGTGGCCCACATAGCAGCATTTCCCCTCCATAAAGTGACTGAGAGCCTCTGGTATAGGTGGCAGCAGGCAACAGTTGGATCATGGCCAAGGCGTTGGGCAAGGAGGTGAGCCAACTGATCAATGAAACTTGAGGTAGATGGACTCCAACCCCAAGGGCTTCTACAGCTAGCAGGAAAAAAGAGACCCCAATCTGATGGCAGGCAGCTGCATGAGCAGAGAGCTTACGAGCCTCAGCCACACCCAAAGCAGAACCCTGCATATTATTATTATTATTATTATTATTATTATTATTATTTTATTATTATTATTATTAAGAGAGAGAAAGAGAGATGTGGGAAAAGGGGGAGAAACCCATAATCACAAAAATGGAAAGGAGAGAAGAAACAAAAAGAAGAATAAAGACGAGAGAGCTAGAAAGACATGAGAGAGAGAAAAGTTAAATTAGCCCATCCACAGAGGGCAGGACAGGTAGAGTCCTATTCAGCCATATCTGAGCATTATTATTATTATTATTATTATTATTATTATTATTATTATTATTATTATTATTATTATTATTATTATTATTATTATTATTATTATTATTACTATTATTATTACTGTATAGCTATAAAAATTGATGGACTAAAATTTTGGTGAATTCAGTGAATTGAGGTCAACCCATCAAAATTTTAATCTCAAATTTGATAAGGCTCTGCAGCAGCCTGCACATGGTTAAAATTTTGCTAAAATTTTAAACCTAAACCTCTTTTAGAGTCCATTCACTAAATTTTGACACTCCAAAATTTTCAAGCTATACAGTAGTACAGATGCAGTCCTCATATAAAGCAATAGTAAGGTGGAGTGTAGTATGAGATTTTGAGGAGATTTTATTATTATTATTGTGATATGTATATGAGAGCAGTTAAGTACAGGCCCTATAGGTGGATTTATATAATGGTGATTTAGGAATTAGCAGCCATGAATCATTGAGCATGTGAAGAATAAAACAAAATGGAGTGGATTTTATATTAGTGAATGCTAACTACAACTGCTAATCTGCCAATATTAACTCCTTGCCATATTCCAACTGTATGGTAAATACTATTATTACATGTGTGCTCAGAATCAGTTCAAAAACTATCAAAGGACATTGATATATAAATTGAGAAATTATTTTACAGACAATTCTTGACAAAAGCATTCTCTCCCTCTCTCTCAGTTATGGTATATGTGTTTAGTGTATTGAATTCCTGATGTGTGGGCGGGTATCAATGAATCTAATTAACTGATCAAAAGATGTCGTTAGAAGACAAGTGTAGGGCTGCGTTTGAGAAAAGAAATCATGAGCAAGCTGTTTGCTTACTACCATCAGTGGTAGGACTGAATAAAATTAAAAGAGGATGGGATAATGCTAGTCTACTTCATTTGTCTTCAAGGCATGGCTGGTTAGATGTCACAAAAGATCTCATCACCAAATATCACTGTGACCCACACAAAAGAGATGAGACAGGCTGGACTTGTCTTTATAATGCTGCAGAAGGTAATTATGTTGATGTGATGAGATATCTTATTGATGAGTGTCACTGTGATCCAAAGGTTCCTGATAAGTATCGAGATACTGTTCTTCACAGAGTATTTAGTAATGGATCACTGAAGTACTTAATCAATCATCATCACTGTGACCCAAATGCTACTAACGATTGGGGTGAGACTGTTCTTCATCGTGCTGCTGGACGCATTGATAGTGTAAAGTATCTCATTAATGAGTGTCACTGTGATCCAATGGCTACTACCAAAAGAGGTGAGACTGTTCTTCATCGTGTTGCTGGACAAATTGATATTGTAAAGTATCTCATTAATGAGTGTCACTGTGATCCAATGGCTACTGACAATAGTGGTGAGACTGTTCTTCACTATGCTGCTGGACACATTGATATTGTAAAGTATCTCATAAATGAGTGTCACTGTGATCCAATGGCTACTGACTATAGGGGTGAGACTGTTCTTCACCATGCTGCTGGACACATTGATATTGTAAAGTATCTCATAAATGAGTGTCACTGTGATCCAATGGCTACTGACTATAGGGGTGAGACTGTTATTCACCATGCTGCTGGACACATTGATATTGTAAAGTATCTTATTGATGAGGGCCACTATGATCCAATGGCTGTTGACATTAGGGGGCGGACACCTCTTCATGTTGCCGCTGCAAGTTGGGATTATGGTTCTTCGGTAGCTGTTGAATATTTACTATCAACTGGTGAATGTGATCCATTGGCTAAAGACAATCAGGGGAAAACACCATTTAAACTAGCTCAGGAGAATCTTCACATTGATACTCTTTCTGTCTTTAAGAAGTTTGGTGATATAAAATCATCTCATCCAATTGATTCTTATGTTAACGTCCTCCTTGTGGGTAATCCCAGAGCTGGTAAAAGTACCCTTAGTAATGTCATCAATGACACAGCTACTGGTTCTATTGTTCTTGGTTCCTTTAGAAATGTTGGAGGGGTAGTGCCCTGTACTGCTGGCATCATTCCTTATAAACTAAATCACAGGACACTGGGTAACATCATTCTTCATGATTTTGCTGGTCATTCTGAATACTACTCCAGTCACAGTGCTGTCATTGAGAATCTCTTACAAGGTTCTGGTGGCGTGTTCCCGATAGTAGTCAATATATTGGAAAAGAAAGCAGTCAAACAGCTTCATCAGTGGCTAACAGTTGTCAGAAATGAAGCACAGAAAGCTCTTAATCAATGCCATGTCATTGTAATAGTCAGTCATGTGGATGAGATATTTAATCCTTTTGAAAGGAGAAGGAGAAAGGAAGAAATACAGGAGATTATTGTAAGGGAAAGGTGTGATAGTGTCTTCTTAGATTGTCGTAAGCTTGGTGGGAGTGGTGTGGATTCCTTCTTTAATAAGTTGTCTAGTGCCTGTGAGTCCATTCGTAGTACAAGTGGAAGGAATTTGAATCTTTATTGTCACATGATGTATGGTCTACTGGAGGAAAGGAAAGAGAATATACTGACCCTCTCTGATGTAATGTCTGCTGGTAAGGACAATGATGATTATTTTATACCAGAAAAGAGAGAAGACGTCTTGGATGTTCTTCATTCGTTGCACTCAACTGGTTTGATCAGTTTTCTTAAAAGTGAAGAAAAGGTATGGGTTGTTGTGAATAAGGGTATACTACTAACTGAGGTGGATGGGATTCTCTTTGCTCCAGAGACATTCAAAGAGTACGTTGACATTGCTAGCAATACTGGTATTGTTAGTGTGTCTGGTCTGACTAGATACTTCCCTAAATATGATTCTGACATGTTGATCTGTTTCCTCAAGAACATGGAACTCTGTCAACAAATGAATGATCCATCTTTCCTAAGAATGACAAACCTCCATCAGTTAGCAGTGGAAGAGGAGAAGGAAGGAGGGACAGAAATAAGAGGAGAAAAGTTGTTGTTCTTTCCATGTCTTTTGTCTACTGATAGACCTAAGAAAATGACTAGTCAAGTGTACCAGTTTGGTTGGTGTCTACAGTGTACTAGTAAACATCATTTCTTTCCTCCTCGATACTTCCACGTCCTCTCATTACATCTTGCTTACAAAATGGCTTTACCTCAAGAAGATGACAAGTTAAATCGTTACTGTACATTTTGGAAGAATGGTCTGCACTGGTTTAATGGTCATGGTGTAGGATCACTGGTAGAGATTGTGGATGACAGCCAGTGTGTACTAGTAATGATGTCCTGTGAGAAAGGTTACAGTGACAATATGGTGTCTCTACGAAGAGATGTGATAGGAAAGGTAATGAGTGTCTATAAAGAATCTTGTCCCAGTCTAGAGGTAAAAGAGTTAGTTATTGATCCTAAAGAACTAGCCTATCCTGTGAATACACCAAGAGAAAGGACAGTGTATAGTGTAAAAGATGTGATAGCAGCAATAAAGGAAGGAAGACCATTTTTTGTCAATAATAAAGGGCAAACAGAATTAAAGGAGATCCTACCTGATGAATCATTATCAGATATTAGTAACCTGTCACTATTAGGAGGACATGTTATTAAAGTAAGTATTAACACACACAATCTGTTTGATACATTAATACAAGCACTAATAAACAAAAGGTCATATCTTAAAAGTAATTTTGTTTCTTATCAAATTACTCAGTCTTTGTCATAATTGTGGGTTGTCATTGTGTGGCTTTTACTACTAATAATATAAACTTACACATCTGTTAAACTCACCTTTCAGCAATACACTACTGATGTATATTATCTTGACAAACAAGCACAGTGACAAATATCAGTTATTATTATTATTATTATTATTATTGTATAGGAAGTGATTGAAGTAACTGCAGAATTCAAGACACCATTGACTCCAATAAAGCTAGGTATGTTATAATATGTACTATCACAATTGTCAAGTAGTAGTAGTAGTGTAGACTGTACAGTGTATATACACATTATTAATTATTATTTTTATTATTTTTATATATGTACATGTAGATGATAAAGATCTTGATACCGTAATTGAAGAGCTAACAATACTCAATCAATTAGATTGTACTAAATGGTATCAGTTTGGACTTTATTTAGGATTATATGATCTTAGACTAAAGGCTATAGATACTGACTATAGAGGAAAGACAGTGGAGTGTTTCCGTGAGTGTATGTCTGCCTGGTTAAGAGGAGAAGATAAAGTGAGAGAGAAAGGAGGTCCCAGTTGGTCATCATTAGCTACAGCACTGGATACAATAGAAGAAAAATGTATTGCTAGTTACATTAGAAATAAACATTGTCCATCAAAATAGTTAATTGCCTAGTTCTTTTGTTTATTGAAATGTTTATTTTCTTTTATCACTTATTTTGTTAAGATGGCTGCTTATAGTTTCTTACTTTGTTCTGTTCATAACTATTATTATTATTAATGATACATTAATACAAGATGAATGTAAACATTAAGTGGACAAGCCAAGCAAAGCAATATACATCATTATTACTATTTACGTCTGTAAAGTTCAAATCCAAAACAATAAAACATCAATAATCATTATCTAATAATCACCACGTGTTTTATGTGAATTGTGTGGGTATGTAGTAAATGAGTATGTGTATGCATAATATAATAAGCATGGTTGTTATTATGCATCATGTTACATCTTCCCTTTTCTGGTGAAGTTTCAGAAACGTAATGTATATGGGTCTGCATAACTATAAGGGCGTGCAGTTTTCCGTTTTGATCTTCGTAATTGGGGGGGGTGTGATGGTTCTCCACCTTGCTCTTCACATGTACCGTTTATTGTTGTTTTTTTGAGGTTGTCCCTCTTGAGAGGTTAGGTAATCGTCAAGGTCATCTGAGTCTGACTCTGGTTCCGGTACATCCTTTTTGGGAATAGGTCTGAGGTGTTTCCTGTTATGACGGTATAGTTGTCCTTCAGGAGTAATGATGATGTATGAGAGGGGGTATTCAGTTGCATGGAATACATCAATATATTGGCTGAGAGTGTCATTTGTCAAGGTTTCAATGTGTTTGATGAGCTTCATTTCGATGCTGGTATTCAGGCCAATGATATTTGTTGCATTATCAAGGATTTCGAACTCAATTGGCCAGAATTTATTCTTGTATTCACATAGCAGTATTGCTTTACCAGTAGACTTAAGCTTGTGTCCTACGAAGGCAATTAATCTGGACTTAGATGAGAGTGGAGGTTGTTGGCTCAATGAGTTGTAGGTTGAGGTAGACATGACATTACATTGCGCACCGGAGTCTATCTTGAAGCTGGTGTTTTGGGAATTTATCGAGATGGTGACATTCCAATCACCATTGTTTTTCCCTCAAAGAGCACTGATAATGAAATCGTCATCGCTTGATTCATCATCCTGGTCAAGGTTTTGTACTCGTGGATTAGCTTCCCGGGTTTGGCATACTCTAGCAAAATGGTTGAGGTGACCACACTTATGGCATTTGACACCACTAGCGGGGCACTTTTGTTGTAATTGGTGCTGTGTGCCACAACAAGTGCACTGTACAAGCTAGATGAGTCACGAGTTGAGTGTTGTCTTGGTTGCTTCTTTTTCATGAAGTTGACCTCATGCTCATTCATCGTGGTAGTACTGTTGGACATTTTCTTGAACTGTGTGGATACAGCTTCATCTGCACAGCATATGTCAAGGGCGTCCTTGAGTGTTAGGTCTGCTTTCTTTAGCAAACAGGACCTCATTTTATTGCTAATAATACCACCAACAAGACGGTCTCTTATTAGGCTCTCAGTGAGGGCTCCAAATTCACATGTCTTAGCCCTTCTTCTTACATACTGGTCAACAGTTTCATCCGGTTGCTGGTTTCGTGTGTTGAATACATGTCTTTCCCAAGTGATATTTTTTCTGGAAATACAGTACTCTTCAAATTTATCGAGTAATTTACTTAGTTTTACAGCGTCGTTAGGACTGTCAAACGTGAATGTGTTAAATATTTCGAGAGCCTCTGGACCGGCCAGGTGGAAAAAATGGCATACTTGACTTCTTCGCTCTCATCCTTCTTCCTGGATGCTGTCATGTAAATACTAAAACGTTGCTTCCATCTTCGCCAGTTCTCGGCAAGGTTCCCTTGTAGCAAAAGCGGTTCTGGGGGCTGGAACTGTTCCATTGTATCCCACTCTTGACACCATGTAATGTTCAGATCCAAAACAATAAAACATCAATAATCATAATCTAATAATCACCACGTGTAATATGTTAATTGTGTGGGTGTGTAATAAATGAGTGTGTGTAGGAATAATATAATAAGCATGGTTGTTATTATGTATCATGCTACAGAAGGGTATCTGTCTCTTAATAGTACAGGTAGTTTAAAGTTAGATTACCTTGAAACTGAGCGGAGTCATACATGTAGTTTTAAAAATTTCCAATAATTAGCTATGAGTATTTTAAAAAGTTACATGTACCAAGTCACTACCTACATCATGTATACAGTAGTATTGTTACTATAAATAGTATCAGTTACCACTACTATAAATAGTATCAAGAGTAGATAATAATTAGAGGAGTGTGTCCTACTGGCAATATACCCCCTGCTTCATCACCACGTAGAATTGAAGAGTCACATTCCAGATATTTCCGTATTTTTAAGTAGTTATTTGAAAATAACAAGCAATAACTATGACTACTCAAATAAATTAAGGAAATAACTGGAATGTGACTCTTCAATTCTACGTGGTGATGAAGCAGACCATATAGCCAGTATGACACTCTCCTCTAATTATTATCTACTCTTGATAGTATCAGTGTTACTTGAATAGATTCATTTACCTCTATTCCTAAGGAAGAATGACACTATGTACATGTATGGCTTGACTGAGAGTGCAGTGTTTTATTATTATTATTATCATTATTATCATCAAATGGTGGCAGAAAGACACAAAAGCAAACAAAAAACATTATTATTATTATTATTATTATTATTATTATTATTATTATTATTATTACTATTATTATCACTGTATAGCTATAAAGTGAATTCAGTGAATTGAGGTCAATTCACCAAAAGTTTAATTTCCAATTAGATAGGGCTCTGCAGCAGTACGCACATGGTTAAAATTTTGCCGAAATTTTAAAACTAAACCTCTTTTAGAGTCCATTCACCTAATTTTGACACTCTAAAGTTTTCTAGCTATACAGTATATAGTACAGGTGCAGTCCTCATATAAAGGAATAGTAAGGTGGAGTGTAGTATGAGATTTTGAGGAGATTTTATTATTATTATTGTGATATGTATATGAGAGCAGTTAAGTACAGGCCCTATAGGTGGGTTTATATAATGGTGATTTAGGAATTAGCAGCCATGAATCATTGAGCATGTGAAGAATAAAACAAAATGGAGTGGATTTTATATTAGTGAATGCTAACTACAACTGCTAATCTGCCAATATTAATTCCTTGCCGAATTCCAGCTGTATGGTAAATACTATTATTACATGTGTGCACAGAATCAGTTCAAAAACTATCAAAAGGACATTGATATATAAATTGAGAAATTATTTTATAGACAATTCTTGGCAAAAGCATTCACTTCCACTCTCTTAGTTATGGTATGTGTGTTTAGTGTATTGAATTTCTGATGTGTGGGCGGGTATCAATGAATCTAATTAACTGATCACAAGATGTCATTAGAGGAGGACAAGTGTTGGGATGTGTTTGAAAGAGGAGATCATAAAGAAGCTGTTCGCTTACTACCATTAGTGAAGGAACTAAATAAAATGAAAAGAAAATATACTTTATGGGGTAATACTAGTTTACTTGATTTGTCTTCAAAGCATGGCTGGTTAGATGTTACAAAAGATCTCATCACTAAATATCACTGTAATCCACACGAAAGAGATGATAATGGTAGGACTTGTCTTCATTATGCTGCACTAGGTAATCATGTTGATATGATGAGATATCTCATTGATAAGTTTCACTGTGATCCAATGGCTGCTGACTGGGTGTGGGGGCGGACACCTCTTCACTATGCTGCTCGTTCGGGTAGTTCTGCAGCTGTTGAATATTTACTATCAATTGGTAAATGTGATCCATTGGCTAAAGACAATGAGGAGAACACACCATTTAAACTAGCTAAGCATAGAGGTGACACTGATACTCTTTCTGTTTTGAAGAAGTTTGGTGCCATAAAATCATCTCATCCAATTGATTCTTATGTTAACGTCCTCCTTGTGGGTAATCCTAGAGCTGGTAAAAGTACTCTTAGTCATGTCATCAATGACACAGCTAGTTTTACTCTTCTTGGTGCTTTAAGAAGTGTTGGAGGGGTAGTGCCCTGTACTGCTGGCATCATTCCTTATAAACTAAAACACAGGACACTGGGTAACATCATTCTTCATGATTTTGCTGGTCATTCCGAATACTACTCCAGTCACAGTGCTGTCATTGAGAATCTCTTACAAGGTTCTGGTGGTGTGTTCCTCATAGTAGTCAATATATTGGAGAAGGAACCAGTCAAACAGCTTCATCAGTGGCTAACAGTTGTCACAAATGAAGCACAGAAAGCTCTTAATCAATGCCATGTTATTGTAATAGTCAGTCATGTGGATGAGATAAGTAATCCTGTTGAAAGGAGAAGGAGAAAAGAAGAAATACAGGAGATTATTTTAACGGAAAGCTGTGATAGTGTCTTCTTAGATTGTCGTAAGCTTGGTGGGAGTGGTGTGGATTCCTTCTTTAATAAGTTGTCTAGTGCCTGTGAGTCCATTCGTAGTACAAGTGGAAGGAATTTGAGTCTTTATTGTCACATGATGTATGGTCTACTGGAGGAAAGGAAAGAGAATATACTGACCCTCTCTGATGTAATGTCTGCTGGTAAGGACAATGATGATTATTTCATACCATATAAAAGAGAAGACATCTTGGATGTTCTAGATTCATTACAGTCGACTGGTTTGATCAGTGTTCTTAAAAGTGAAGACAAGGTATGGGTTGTTGTGAATAAGGGTATACTACTAACAGAATTAAATGGGATTCTCTTTGCTCCAGAGACATTCAAAGAACACGTTGACATTGCTAGCAATACTGGTATTGCTAGTGTGTCTGGTCTGACTAGACTCTTCTCTAAATATAATCCTGATATGTTGATTCGTTTTCTGAAAAACATGGAACTCTGTGAAGAAATGAATCCATCTTTCTTAAGGATGACAAACCTCCATCATTTAGCAGTGGAAGAGGAGGAGGAGGGAGGGACAGAAAGAAGAGGAGAAAGGTTGTTGTTCTTTCCATGTCTTTTGTCTACTGATAGACCTGATGAGATGACTAGTTGTGAAGTGTACCAGTTTGGTTGGTGTCTACAGTGTACTAGTGAACATCATTTCTTTCCTCCTCGATACTTCCATGTCCTCTCATTACGTCTTGCTTACAAAATGGCTCTACCTCAAAAGAACAACCAGTTAATGAGATGTTGTACATTTTGGAAGAATGGACTTTATTGGTCTAATGGTCATGGTGTAGGATCACTGGTAGAGATTGTGGATGAGAGCCAGTGTGTACTAGTAATGATGTCCTGTAAAAAAGGTTGTAGCCGTGACAATATGGTGTCTCTAAGAGGAGGTGTGATAGAAAAGGTAATGAGTGTTTATAAAGAATCCTGTCCCAGTCTAGAGGTAAATGAGTTAGTTATTGATCCTAAAGAACTAGCCTATCCTGTGAATACACCAAGAGAAAGGACAGTGTATAGTGTAAAAGATATTCTCTCTGCTATTGACAAGGGAGATGATTGCTTAGTTCATGATAATGGAACAAGTACAAGATTGAAGGAGATCCTACCTGATGAATCATTATCAGATATTAGTAACCTGTCACTATTAGGAGGACGTGATATTAAGGTAAGAATTAACACACAAACTGTTTGATACATTAATACAAGCACTAATAATCAAAAGGTCATATCTTAAAAGTAATTTATTTCTTATCAAATTACTCAGTCTTTGTCATAATTGTGGGTTGTCATTGTGTGGCTTTTACTACTATTATACCACGGTGTGTGGGTGGTTACCATGGAAACCTTTGATGTTTAGCAGGGAGCTATATGCCCATAACCACCCTGCAGACAGTGTGGGTTTTCCTGATGTATATCACCTTCATCAACAAGCACAGTGACAAATATCAGCTATTATTATTATTATTATTATTGTATAGGAAGTGATTGAAATAACTGAAGAATTCAAGACACCATTGACTCCAATAAAGCTGAGTATGTTATAATATGTACTATCACAATTGTCTAGTAGTGGGAGTGTAGACTGTACAGTGTATATACACATTATTAATTATTATTTTTATAGATATTAATGATCTTGATATTGTCACTAAGGAATTAACATCAGATCAACACTTGTCCTCTTCTGTATGGCACAGACTAGGTCTACAGTTAGGATTATATGATCCTAGACTAGTGGATATAGATGAGAGACACAGAGGAGATCCAGTAAAATGTTTTTATGCTTGTATGTCTGCCTGGTTAAGAGGAGAAGATAAAGTGAGAGAGAAAGGAGGTCCCAGTTGGTCATCATTAGCTACAGCACTGGATACAATAGAAGAGAAATCTATTGCTACTAACATTAGAGATAAATATTGTACATCAAACCAGTTAATTGCCTAGTTCTTTTGTTTATTGAAATTATTGTTTTCTATTATCACTTATTTTGATAAGATAACTGCCTATAGCATCTTGCTTTGTTCTGTTTATAACTATTATTATTATTATTATTAATGATACATTACCGTATACGTTCAAATTTTCGAGGGTTCAAAATTTCGTGTTTTCAAATGAAATTTGCTCAAGAGTTAATATTCGTGTGAGCTAATTTTCGTGTTCTGGCCATAGTCTACATACAATAGAATGGCATTAGAGGTGGTTTAAATTTCGTGGATTTAAGGTGAGCACGAAAATAACGAAATTTAATACACCTCGAAAATTAAGACGCGTACGGTATTGCAAGATGAATGTAAAACATTATGGGGACGAGCCAAGCAAAGCAATATACATCATTATTATTATTTATGTCTGTCTGTCTGTTGCTAATAAAAAAATTTGAGTTGATTCCAACAACAAATTTTTGTGCAATGGACAATTTTTGAATTACTACATCACTACCAAACGTGTACACTAGCATCGTTACTATAAATAGTATCAATTACTACAATAGATAATGATACTATTTGTAGTAAAATGCTATTGATTAACACTATGCTATTGTAATATATTATAAACCACATACTCATAGTAGGAAATTTTCGTCGAGTGCTAATTTTTGTTTGTTTCGTTGGCCAATATTTGTGAACAAAATTTTCACACAATGAAAATTTAATCCAAAATTTTTGAACCACAACAGATTCTCTTTTCACTACATAGCAATCTGTGGCATTATCAGGCTTGACACAGAAAGGCAGTTCTTCTCAAACTGATGGGCTCCAAATGTCTTTATAAATGTTGTATAACTACAAACCATAAACAGTCTTCCATCTTAAACCATACATGTGGCACTAATTAAGTGGGTATGATAGTGAAAATGTATGTTAGGCAAAATGAAAATAAAATCAACGAAAATATCTTGTAAAGCCTGCTTGAAAAGACAACAAATTTCCTGCTATACGATATCATTACCAATGATATATATTATACATCAAAAGCATAGTGTCAATCAATAGCATTGTACTATAAATAGTATCAGTGTTACTATAAATAGTATCATTTACCTCTATTCCTAAGGAAGAATGACACTATGTCTCAGTTCCAGTCTCCAGTGCATTGAGTGGGAGGGAACATTGATCCAATGAATTAAGAGACACTCCTAGATCAGGAGAGACCGAGATTTTATGAAATGATGACAAAGACAGAGTTTGTAAGAGAGAGGGACCATCTAAACATGAGCAGAATAGGAGGTATTTTAATTTATATTTTATCATAAACTTGCAAATATTTTACCTGGAGTGTTATAGCTTAAACATTCTACAGTATTCCAGTGGATGAATGGCAGCAATGATCATAGCATTAGAGACACTGTAGACCACTGGATAATAATGAAGTTAAGGATCATAATTGTACATTATTAATGATTAATGTACATGTACATGTACATAGCTCAGGGAGAGGAATAATAATAATAAAAAGGATAAAGAAAGAAAGGATTATAAACTTTGGGTATTTTTCAAAGTTTGGCCTAATTTCCTTAAAATGCCTGTAAATTGAAAACTTAAAGTAGGAATCAGCTCAAACTTTCTACACAGCATAAGGAAATCAATATGCATTAAAAAAATCTAATTAAAACTTGGGATGATTTTTTAGTCATTTTTCTGAAAAGCCATGGGCTCCAAAATCTAAATAGCACTCAAGGCTATAAGCCCCGAGTATTTTCTTAAAAGGGCTGTAACTCAATAAAAATTTAAGTCGGAATCAGCTCAAACTTTTTACACAGCAGAAGGATATTAATATGTATCAGAAAATGTAAAAACATTTGGAAAAAGTCCAAGGCTAAGAAATGTGCATGAGGCTTAATTAGGATACACACAATCCCATCCTCAATGAGAGTGAACAGCAGTGGCCATTTAGAAAGGACGTCCTTCAACTTCCCAACATATTGTGGAAGAGCATCATCATATCCATGAGGATTGAAGAGAGGGCCATTAGATTGTTGCTGGGATAAGAAGGAGGTGGTTAAAGAACTGTCATTAGCTAGGAGAATGACGTCACCTTTATGAGAACCAAGTACTGTTAGTGTATCAAGACTGGAGCCTATTGAGAGGAGAATAATTTATAACTATTAATACCTTATATGACATATTTCGCAGGTATAAAATTTCGCAATTTGGCTGCATTTTTGTATTCATGAGCAAAAACTTAGCAATTTTAATGTAATTACCACACCTACTATACAATGAACACGCTATTTTGTGGATTTTAATTTTGCAAATTTTTCCAAAATGCAAATATTATGAAATTTAATCCCCACAAAATATATGGCACATACGGTAACAAAATATGTATTGATGGGGAGGAACTTGAAAAATTTGTAAGAAATCCAAATTTAATCAGTATCGAGTCAAACTTTCTATGCAACATAAGAACATGTTTACTGTAATTTTTTCTAAAATTTCGCACCTCTAAGTTCAAAAATAAATAATTTTTAAGCACTTTTAATTCAAAATTAACTCTAATTATTTGTTTTGTAATTTATGACGATACTTCGTCTAATTTTGCCATTTCCCTCCAATTTCGACACTCAACAGCATTATAACAAATGGACGTGTGCTGGAATAGGCAGAAGAGCATGTAACTGACAAAGATGCCTCGAGCAGCACTCCGCCGGACAGATGATTGCCATTAGTAGGCCTAAGCTCTGTCTAGTTGATAGTGAACAAGATTCAGATTGTGAAGATTATTAGTCAAACAACAAAGAATATCTTGTCCACATGTGTTTCTTAGTGCCTTATTTCGTCATAATTAATTATTATTTGGCCATAAAGGCCAATTTTACTCTTAATTATTTGTTTTCAAAATTTATTTATCAAAAGTGACTGTGGCGAATTTTTAGAAGAATTACAGTATGCATCAGAAAATTATTTTAAAAAATTAATGCCAAATCTTTTTGACTAATAGTACAAGTGCTTTGGCCCCATTTTTAAAAAATCTAAATTTAATCGGAACATTGATCTATGATTGGAATCGGTTCAGACTTTCTATGCAACATAAGTACATGTCAAGTTGGTAATACTATTCCCTCTCTAACCTCAAGTTCTTTCTAAGGACAACACACTAAGAAAGTCCACTGAGGTAAGCGTGGAATCCATTATCCTCTGGAACAACATTTCTGACTCACTAGGAGCAACTAAACACGTTCAGCCTGTCAGCCAACCAGAAGCTCCCTTATCTTGCGTCGATCATAGGAAACCCAGTCCCATTCTAGTTCTCATGACTCCATGTGGTTTTAAGGCAGGGCTAACCACACCCACACCACGCCCTTGAGATTGATCCAATAAAAATTTCAGAAACTTATAATTATCATTAATTTTTGCGAAAAAAGTTAAAAATAATAATTATTATGCTTGTAAATTCCTGGATAATTAAAATAATTTTAAAATCCAATTTGAAATTAGAGTCATTCTTAGAAAAACCATCTTTTGGAGATTGAGTAAAATCTTGTTTCTTCTTTAATGATATCTACAAAAAAATTAATTATGCATGAAAGTATTTTAATACGATAAATAAGTTCATCTACAACTAACCTGAATACTAATCATGCTTTAGTAGTTAATACAGTATTCATTGCTGGGTTTGCTGCTTGACAAAACAAATAAGTTTGAAGCATCTTCCTATTTCTTTCTTTGAATGATGTGATACAGCACATATTTCTGTGAAAAAATAAAAACAGTTCAATGAATGAATAAATGAAAGAGACAGAGACAAAACTCTTAAATAGTCACAATAAAACACAATGCAACTTTGTGGTTACTTTAATCTGGAAACAAATTCATGGCAAAGAGTTGCGTAGTGTGCATTTATTATTGTAAAAAGACAAAATACAGTTTATTGGTTGAAATGCAGGCAGAGTCACTTTTTACTCAGTAGTACAATGTATAGTATTGTAGATCAACATAATCATATAATGTATGCATACAAGTATGCTTAAACACACACCTATACTCAAATGCATATACAGTAAATGTTTAGCAAATAAGATAAAAGCTAAGAGAATATGAGATGCTGGCTAGTGCCTAGCATGAAGGCAGACAGGATTGCTGCGCTAGAGAGAGAGAGAGAGCTAACGATGACTCATGTTGACACCCAAACACTGATTATAATAATTACACAGCATGCATTATATACAAAAATAATTTATGAATATTCATGAGTTCTGATGTGATGTCATGATGCATCAGCCACGCTACAAATGTTTATAGAAAAATGGTTACTATACATGCAAAAAGGCATTTTATATGCTAACACACTATAAAATTGGTGGAGGAATAATTGAGCAATGTGACCTGGAGATACTAAAAGTGGGTCACCTTGATAGTGAAGATGCTGAAAACTTTTAAAAAGTTATACAACACCATAAAAATTTAGAAGTGGTCTCAATTAGGTCTGAAACTTATGATAGGAGCTTTATTCAATGTTTATCAGAATTAATGTATTGACCATGCTTCCAGCAATTGCATATCAAAGACTACTCATGTACAGGTACCCCTGGTCACATCATCCATTTCATTTAATGGTGTCCATTCCTTACTCTCTGCATTCTTCCTCTCTCCTTATCCTCTCACACTTAGATTGGATAAGGTTACATTTGATTCTAGTGATCCTCTAGCTATCAACACTGAACAACAATCAAAATCACTTGATGTAGCTCGTGTGTATTTATATATACAAGTGTAAGTGACACCTCTCGTATTCTTGAGTCTAATTTTCCTCCTCAGTACATTGTATTGAAATCATTCAAGATTAGGAGCAATGATGCACTCTGTTTATTTTCTAAAGTGAAATCAATCAAAGTAGATGAGATCACTATTGATATTGATACTAATAGTTTAAGTTCATTGCTCAGTATTGTGTCAGTAAATGATTTGACAGTTTCTTTTAAGGTAATTCAGTCAATTCTTGAGATAATTTTCAATTCACTGTCACCAACTAAACCACCTTACCTTCAATTGATGGTAAAGTACAGTGGAGATGATCCTTCATCAATATAGCATGATACTTGGAAGAGATGTGGTGTGATGACACTGAAGAAAGCTGTTGTAATATTTGTACGGGGCAATGGTCAGGAAATAAGTATCTTAAAGAGATGCTGTGACACACATACATTGACATTATTTGTGAACCTCTTTGGACTGTTTAATTGAAATCCTTACACAAAATGAATAACCTTATTAGATTAAATACATGTTCTAATTTAAGCAGAGATATTAAATCACTAAATTAAATTGACCAATAAATTATTGAATGTATTTAAGACTGATGATTTAGCCAAGCTCTTAAGTTTACTACATATAATCATTGTACACATCAATGTTGAAAAAGTTTTTGAACCATGGATAACATGATAAACAGTGTGTTTGCCCAGTCCACTCCCACTCAGTTATGATAATCATAGTATATGTACTATGATTATCATAACTAAGACCACACACACTATGACATGAATCTAATTAACTGATCACAAGATGCCATTAGAGGAGGACAAGTGTTGGACTGCGTTTAAGGATAGAGATTATAAAGAAGCTGTTCACTTACTACCATTAGTGAAGGAACCAAATAAAATTAAAAGAAGGTGTATGAAATGGGATAATGCTAGTTTACTTCATTTGTCTTCCGAGCATGGCTGGTTAGATGTTACAAGAGATCTCATCACTGAATATCACTGTGACCCACAGGAAAAAGATGGTGTAGGTCAGACTTGTATTCATTATGCTGCAAGGGGTAATCATGTTGATGTGTTAAGATATCTCATTGATGAGTGTCACTGTGATCCAATGGCTACTGATATGTATGGGGACACTGTTCTTTACAAAGTAGTTACTTATGGATCACTTGATGCCATGAAGTATTTAATCAAAGATCATCACTGCGATCTAATGGCTACTAACTATAAGGGTGAAACTGTTCTTCATTACACAGCTAAAACCAACTCACCGCCACCTCATTCACCTGATGTAATAAAATATCTAATTAATGAGTGTAACTATGATCCAATGACTGCTAACAGCTGGGGGTCAACACCACTTCACTATGCTGCTCATTGGGGTCATTCTGCAATTGTTGAATGTTTACTATCAACTGGTAAATGTGATCCATTGGCTAAAAACAATGAGGGGAAAACACCATTACAAGTAGCTAAAGAGGCAAAGCAGAGAGGCTGGGGTAATACTCTTCCTATCTTTAAGAAGTTTGGTGATATAAAATCATCTCATCCAATTGAGTCTTATGTTAACGTCCTCCTTGTGGGTAATCCTGGAGCTGGTAAAAGTACTCTTAGTCATGTCATCAATGACACAGCTAGTTTTACTCTTCTTGGTTCCTTTAGAAATGTTGGAGGGGTAGTGCCCTGTACTGCTGGTATCATTCCTTATAAACTACAACACAGGACACTGGGTAACATCATTCTTCATGATTTTGCTGGTCATTCAGAATACTACTCCAGTCACAGTGCTGTCATTGAGAATCTCTTACAAGGTTCTGGTGGTGTGTTCCTGATAGTAGTCAATATATTGGAGAAGCAACCAGTCAAACAGCTTCATCAGTGGCTAACAGTTGTCACAAATGAAGCACACAAAGCTCTTAATCAATGCCATGTTATTGTAATTGTCAGTCATGTGGATGAGATAAGTAATCCTGTTGAAAGGAGAAGGAGAAAGGAAGAAATACAGGAGATTATTGTAAGGGAAAGGTGTGATAGTGTCTTCTTAGATTGCCGTAAGCTTGGTGGGAGTGGTATGGATTCCTTCTTTAATAAGTTGTCTAGTGCCTGTGAGTCCATTCGTAGTACAAGTGGAAGGAATTTGAGTCTTTATTGTCACATGATGTATGGTCTACTGGAGGAAAGGAAAGAGAATATACTGACCCTCTCTGATGTAATGTCTGCTGGTAAGGAAAATGATGATTACAATTTATCAGATAAGAGAGAAGACGTCTTGGATGTTCTTCATTCATTGCACTCAACTGGTTTGATCAGTGTTCTTAAAAGTGAAGACAATAAGGTATGGGTTGTTGTGAATAAGGGTATACTGCTAACTGAGGTGGATGGGACTCTCTTTGCTCCAGAGACATTCAAAGAACATGTTGACATTGCTAGCAATACTGGTATTGTTAGTGTGTCTGGTCTGATAGACTCTTCCCTAAATATGATCCTGACATGTTGATCTGTTTCCTAAAGAACATGGAACTCTGTCAACAAATGAATCCATCTTTCCTAACAATGACTAACCTCCATCAGCTGGCAGTGGAAGAGGAGGAGGAGGGAGGGACAGAAAGAAGAGGAGAAAGGTTGTTGTTCTTTCCATGTCTTTTGTCTACTGATAGACCTGATGAGATGACTAGTCAAGTGTACCAGTTTGGTTGGTGTCTACAGTGTACTAGTAAACATTATTTCTTTCCTCCTCGATACTTCCATATCCTCTCGTTACATCTTGCTTATAAAATGGCTCTACCTCAAGAAGATGACAAGATAAATCGTTACTGTACATTTTGGAAGAATGGACTTTATTGGTCTAATGGTCATGGTGTAGGATCACTGGTAGAGATTGTGGATGAGAGGCAGTGCGTACTAGTAATGATGTCCTGTGAAAAAGGTTACAGTGACAATATGGTGTCTCTAAGAAGAGATGTGATAGGAGAGGTAATGAGTGTTTATAAAGAATCCTGTCCCAGTCTAGAGGTAAAAGAGTTAGTTATTGATCCTAAAGAACTAGCCTATCCTGTGAATACACCAAGAGAAAGGACAGTGTATAGTGTAAAAGCTGTACTCTCAGCAGTAGTTGAACAACGACCATTTCTTGTTACTACTGGTACTAGATGTACAGAATTGAAGGAGATCCTGCCTGATGAATCATTATCAAATATTAGTAACATGTCACTATTAGGAGGACGTGATATTAAGGTAAGAATTAACACAAACTGTTTGATACATTAATCAAAGGTCACATCTTAAATGTAATTAATTATTACTTAT